ACATATATTAATGTTCAAGGTTTGTAATGAAAAAATAAAACTTTTCTTGTCACTATCATAGTGAAAAATGTAATACATCGAAAATGTACAGAAAATATAGTTCTCGTAATCCGTCATATCGTGGGCAGCTATTTTGATCCACCTGGACATCCCAGTATCCTAGTTACCTCGGGCATGCGCATTCGCATTTTTCTGAGTTGGAACGCTTATGCGAGAGCGAGATTGTGATGGGATCTTGGTATCATGTCACCGTTGTTGCAAACCCCAAGTAATGTATCTCTGGATTAACCCATTGGTTAATCATTGTCTGTGTTATCCATAATGGAACATGTTAAAAAAAATAACTACCCAGGGCTGTCACTGGACAATTTCTCTCAGCCCTTGCTAGCTACCGACAATTTGTAATAACAAGGGGATAATGATGGTTGCATTGAATCCGGTTGTTTGAGGCCTTCATTGAAATGCCATGGTTACCCACATAGAAAACCCTGGTATCCATTGTTCTGACAGACATTACAGTTGACGGCTGATTCAGTTGAGGCCCTCAAAATGGCAACTGCCTCAGCAATGGTGGAACAAATAAATTTGGTCCTAACCAATCAACACAAGATCTGAGGTTAGCACCGCTCTTGTTCAGTGAAATAAATAAATGCAACTTTTAATTACTGAATCATGCTTGGCCAACAAGAAAGTAGTGTACTGGCTAACCAAGTTCTGAGTAATATTGGCCATAGAAATGTAAAGTTGTGCAAAAATGGGACCTGGTGCTCGGCAATAATTTGTAATGCCCTATCATAAGTGGTATTAGAATCAAAGTCATCTAACTCTGAGTAGTTGACCAATATTCAGGGTATAGGACAGCACCCTGAAGGAGATGCGAGTGTCTAGCTTCTTGACTTGTTCATCTGATAATGTATGTAACAATCTTTGGCCCATCAACAGTACTGTATCATATTAAGGGTTACTCTTGCCCTGGATCAGCATAAATGAGATAGCAAAGGCAGCTCATCGGTGATATGATGTGGAATCCATTTGACACTACTCATCACTCTGGTCGTAATCTCAAGGCCTTGACAATCAATTGTCAGTGACCAGTTTAGTGACCCATAACTGGAGATGAATCCCCCCATGAAGTGGGATACTTGAGTTGGCCATTTTTTCTGGCACCTTTGGGGTGAATATGAATAGCAAATATTAAAACTAAATCAGTATCATTCAATTAGTACTTTGTGTCTTGTGCTGGGAAACCTGGGAAAGTGAACTAAACCATAGACCCTCTATGACTAAAGCAAATTTTTTGAATTATTCACGTTACATAGGTCACTTCAATCCTCTAAATTTTTGATAGAATCCTACCGAAGTTACTACAATGAAATATCAATTGGGCAGGTAGTTTTCAAGATAAAGTGAAAAGTAGCATTTTAACCACAAATGTCAAGAATAAAAAATTGATAATATTGCCTTAAAATGAACAAATCTGATAGAGACCCACCCAAGTATAAAACCAACCGATTTTTAAATACTATCAGGACCACCCACCATTTTTTTAAATGTCAAGGCCACATTCAAGATGGCTTGCCCTGTATCACAAATATTGGTTCGTCATTTTATTTTTATACCCCAGCTGTCTGAAGCCAATCAATGAGTGCAGTACGCAATGTTGTTGGGCTGATTGACATCAATCATTACCTGGTTGAGGCTATGTGATCATCAAATTAAGATTTGACCATGTTCCAATGTTATTCAGTCCAATAGAAATGTCTTGTTTCAGTTGGCAGTGAAATTTTTAATTTACCTAACAAGGAAACTGTTTTGTGGTACAAAAATAATTAAAGATATCATAAAATGAACAAATCTGATACAGGTATATGCAAGTTACATGTATCTACATGTCAAATATTAAAGCCATTAGGCTGGTAGTTTTCAAGAAGTCAAAAACATAATTGTTGACAGTATGACAATCCCATATATGAACAGATTGGCCTTACCATCATAGACGACAGCGTTTAATCCATTTACCAAATACATGCACGACACTTCACAATACACGTTTCCACATTGTAATCATCCCATTGCCGACCAACTGATACGTACACTGTCAATTAGTTGCATTTTGAGAACCAATATTTTTGTCAGTATTTTTCTAGTGAAAGTTATATTAAACAGTGGCCATTCTAATTGAAAGTGAAGTCAACGTATCATTGTCATCTTCTCCAGTAGCACAGCATACTTACAGTGTATATGGCAGTACTGCTCTTTTACTGAGTAAATCAAAGCTGCAAGTTTGTTCCTCACGTGGGGAATGTGCAAGTTTTGAAAACCATTCAGTAAAGTATCATCGAATCATACAATCACGAAAGAGCAAATTCCGTTCACGATCCAAGCTCTAGCATTCAGTTTCGCACACTGGGTTACCAACAAAATTTACAAATAACAAAATTTCCCTTCAAATTATTTATTTCTTTGAATACCTTTTAAGCATAACACTAAAACTCACATAAACCAAAGTAAATCTTTTTTGCATTTCAAAACACAATAACAGCTAAAATGGAACAATAATTCTTATTAGGAAATCTCCAGAATAATAATACAACAGAGAAACGTGTATGCTTCAAGTTTAAAAGTACAAGTAAATAAAGCAGGCAAATTTTTTCCTCGAATTTTTTCAAAATATACTAGAAGCGGTTTTCAATGAATCAGGTTAAGGTGAAACTCTGGAACAAGAGGATAAAGAAGATGAACTTTCTGGTGAATCAATTGTTGACTAGCACAATGTCGCTTTGAATTCACAAAAATCAGTAATGAACATATGTAGCAGTGAGAACATTCCATTCAATTCATGAAATGTGTCCTCATGAACACATTCTATCATCAAATTGTGAAGAACGTACATTGAATGCCAAGACAGTCTTAACATGCTTTCAGTGAACATCACAAAAATTGACAGCCAGCAAAATTTAAGTTTATTCTATAGCTAACTTTGTATATTCACTAGGTTTAAAATTAGCACATTATCATACAAAAATCTACGTCTGCTACAAACTGGTAGCAATAGTGTGGAAATAAAATGGGTCAATACATTACAAGGATTGGTTTAGTACCGTACATTGTGAAATGTGCAGTACCGTACATTGTGAAATGTGCACATGAAAAACTAATATATGCATGGCTTTCTTGCCAGTGGATTGAAAACCACATCACCATTTAGTTCAAGTACAAAGATTGCATGCAAATTCATTGAGTTGCTTTAAACACAAAGTTGTGTTCCATGTAAACTATCGTGAATCCTTGTAGACATTACAAGAATTCACTTACATTCAAAGTTGAAATATCTTTTGAAAACTGCTCTATTTTGGACAACACAAATTTTATCTCGGGTGAAACGTTCAACAGAATAGACTAACTATAGTAAAGAGGAATAATCTTTGATAAACGCAAAAGATCGCATTTATCACATCCTCCACAAAAAATTCAATGTTGAATTTAATTACTCAACCATCAATGAATCACAATACAGAAACTTATCTTGATTTTTTTTTTTTTTTTTTTTTTGTAGACTAAAAATAATTTTTTTTCTCTGAGAAGGAGGGGAATGATTCACACAAGTTGAGTAGCATTCATCTTACAATGACTGCAAAACAAATTTACAGAAACACTGCTTAGACATGAACACACCAAGTATTACTGGGGAACCATTCCCCCTGTCTAATGCACTGTCCCAAACACCAATACAATTTGACATTCACCAGTTTACTGTCCAACACCACGAGTTTCTATTAGAGAATAAAGTTATAGCTATGTGAATTGGTCCCAGTACACTAAATATTAGTCATAACTGTGAAATACTTTATTTCAGCTGACATTAATTTTCGATGGAAAGACAATTTGGCAGTTTTGTAAAATATAGGAAAAAATGTATTTTAAACTTTATTTACTTTCACTTTGAAAGTAGAAGAAAATACAGCGAAATAATGCCAACTAACATCACTTTTGAATGATGCCCAACATTGTACATTGACAAAAAATAATCTTTGTACAATATACTTAGGCCGCAAGCAAATTGTTAATTTACCACAAGTCAGGGTTCTGGACAGCTTAATCTAGAGGTATTACATCACATTGTGCCAATGGAAAGGCATCAGATTAGTAAATTTCTACAGTCAAATCAAGCAACAGAAGAGCCTGATTAGGCGACTGGTCAATACAACTGTTAATGTTAGGTTAGGGTAAATGATTATTGAGCTATGGAATAGTCAGTGCTGTCAAGTTAGTACAATGACCATGTAAATTTTGTCTAAAGTGGTCAGGCACAAGTTATTGTGCCATCTGATTGAATTCATGGATTGAAGGGTACAGTAACTCTTTAAAGTCTGGTTTGAGCAAACAACCTTTTTCAACACATTGTACATATCACATGGGACCTTTATCATGTGAATGCAGTTTTATGACTATTGCTTTAAGAGTACTTACAGAACACAAGTACAGAATATCTTGATAAAAAAGTTAAATAGCTGCATTTCATGCGAGAACAATCCATCAAAATTTTACCTCAGTTTAACTAAATCCTAAATACCTCTGAAGACAGAATAGTTGTCATTGCACGAGTAATACACATCTTCTGTATTTTGTTATTAAACATAATTTCAGGAATATCATAGGATAGACTACACAAGTTGTGAGCCACTATTGACAGATATATAACAGACAATGCAACAAGCCCTTGGTGCACATACAAGTATTGACCCAGTCAGCTGTACAAGACCTTTGTGCACATGTCTTCAGTTGTACAACATTTCGCCGACTCAGTTCAATACACTGTTTTGCAATATTCAGCATGAAATGTGGCACATGAAAGCAACGAGTACAGAGTTGATCACTTGAGGATATTTAATATTGGAGGTGTCGTTTACACCATAATTACAATACTGGTAGATACAAGTGAAATCAAGTGAAGCATGCTTTTAGCTGAAATGACTTAGGAACCTAACATTTCAGTTAGTTCAAATTAGATTAGGATGGAAAAATAAAGATTCAAATGTAGAATGTATAGTGATGACTATAATGAAAAGCATACTACTACGCAGGTTAATCTTCAGAAAGAAAGTACAGTAATGATGACATATGTACTGAGCCATGTAGGCGAGAGGGAAATTTGAGAAATAATAGACAAGTTTTGAGTTCTGACATTACTCTAGAAACTTGCACACGTTGGCATCAAAACTTTCCAATTTCCTTTATATAAAGCGGGTTGGTTTTGCCATGTAAGCATTCAATAGCAGGGGATCAGGGAAAACGGAAAATAGATTCAGTGAGCTAGAAATCAGCCCCCATTCTCACACAGAACTTACTGATGGCACTGTCACACCAAAGTAGTCTATTGTAGCAGCTCTATGGTTCTCCCCTTATTTTGACCCTCTTATGATAGATCCAAACATCAACCAAAACTGTAGTTGTTACGGTATTTCAGTTTAAAATGTTAGTATTAATGGAAGTCACTGTTTAATTAAACAAAGTGTCAGACTATGAAAGACCTACAAAAGTGTAATTAAATGATGCTTGAAACATGCAAGTTATATTAACTATCTCACTCGAACAATCGGGAGACTAACAATTCAGATAATCCTAATGCATCTGCTGCACGGCTTCAAGCAGAAAGTACTAATTTGCATTTTCAAAGTATGGCGTTTTTTCTCCCCAATTTAACAACGTATTGGTGATAATTCATATTAAACAAGGGAATTTTAACCCTAACCCTATACACTAACAAATCAGAGCTACAACGCCTGACAGTTGTACAAAGAATATTAGATTATTTCAGAAGAAGAAAAGAATTCCTAAATAAAAATGAGATCTTCTACTATAGAAACTGAGAACACAGACATGCACGTGACATTACAGTGCACCATGGTGTTAAAAATACATAGCAGGAATGATCTCAAATTGAAATCTTATTTGGAGATGCCAAACTAATGACACAAACTTATTTTGCACATGCATTTATACTGTCAAAATATTTCTGTATTGGAATATCACTACAGAGATTTTCCCCTTCAAATATTGCATCATTAATAGCTGGTCAGTTAATCCCCCTAACGCCTGTTTGTGTGCAACTTGCTCAGTGACCTCACTGACCTTGTATATTTAAATTTAATCATCTGAGCAATGTCCTTTCATGTCAAAATGAACCAAATTAGGTATGTAATTAATATGACTTCAAGGAGGTAACAACAGTTGCTCAGTATCAAATTGATCTTAGAAGAATACTGAACAAGATGTAACAATTAAGAACAATAATCAAGTTGACTTTTACACTACTATAAGAGCGACAAAAGTGAAAATATACCTTACAAAGCAGGTTCTAAACTTATTTTTTACCTCTTTGTATAACTTTATAGAGATTGTCTCTATAAAACAGCATGGTCTGAATATCTTTCTTCAGTAAAATATCAGAGATAGATATACGACCAACATGAAAACTAGAGAGATCGTCAAACTGCCCCTTCTGTTTGACGATAGTGGCCATATCAAGGGCAGCAAACAAGGCATTATCCATGTTGTCTGACACTGGGAAAAGCTTTGCATCCCAAATACTATACTCCTCCATACGTGCTGGAAAGAGACACTTTGCCTCATCCGATGAGAAATTAGTGAACAACTCACTAAGGGGTTTACCTAAGAATACTAGATCACCTATACTTGCCTGGCCAACCTTGGTTTTAAGGTTATCATGGATATTAAGTACTATTGTGACATATCTGGCGTCTTTTTCAAGACGTACACAAGCAGTGTGAAGAAAGGTATTATCAGGAATGGATATTCGTTTCTTTCCACTCACACAACACATGCTTACGATACAATTTCTACCAATGTGAATATCTGCCTGAGCACTAAAATTACAATACTCTACAACAAATGGGTGGGAATCCTCAAGACTGTCTTTAATAGCTGAATGCATGGTGCATCCCTTTCCATCGGATATTCGAGGCATCTTTGCTGCTGGCTCATCTGCATTCTTACTCTTCCCCATACGCAAGTTGAACACATCGTTGGTACTGCCGAGTTCATCCGTGAAGGAGGGGTTGCAACAAAAGTGGTGTAAATACTCAGTGGTGGTGCCCAGGTGATAGAAATTTGATTCATTCATGGCTATCACATTCAACTGAGTTCCTTTCAAAAGATTGAATATCTCTTGACGCTTGGCGATGAGCTCATCAGTTACTTTTACCACATTGTCAACATTATTGGTGTAGTCCATGCTAGCGTTTGGTCCCAGTGCCTGTAAGAAATCTCCATAGGCATCAATCTCGCATTGAAGAGGTTGAACTTGGCGATAGTACTCTGCCAGTTTCTTAATGGTGGGAGCGTCGATGTAAAAGGCACTGTCAGTGTATACGACCTCTGGCTGGCAGTCGCCTCCATTCGCTCCTGTAAGATTACTGGTGTTACAATCTGAGGCCATTTTGTCGGGGATGACAGCACCTTTCTTTCGCATCACTGCAATAGATGGTTTATGTAGAAATTCCAAGCACTCTGTCATATAAGCTTTCACATGCTTATAATTCTCCTGTTTTGGCAATACAAACACTCCATGCCCAGTACCAATTTCAATCGCTGACGGATGTGCTAAGGCCGTCAAACCAGGCTCTTTAAACGACCACTGCAGTTCGTCACCCCGCACATCATACAGCTCTATAGTGTCTGCGGAGCATACAAATATACCTGGTTTCATACGTGATGGCAGATCTATATACATGGCGAGTTTAAGGTCTATCATTTGATAGATGGGATTCCCTACTGGCATAGCTGTAAATATTTTCCCAAGAAGGCTGGCATGAGGAAGACGTTGACTCATTCCGCCAGCATTTATCAAGAGTATTTTGTAATTACACAGCAGATCTTTGTGTAGTTTCTCCAGTTCGGCCAAGGCTGCCAAAGTTGAACCTCCATTTCCTGAAAATTAAACAGCAAGTGAATGAGTGAGATCCTTAATACAAGTACTATTGAACAAAGTAATTCAATATCTATGAGTCAACTTGGAGTTTTCCCCATGCATCTTTGGTACAAGGCATCATGATGGAAAAATAAATATGTGCCCTTACTAAAAAATGATATTTATATAATTGTCAACATCATAGACTCGAATCATTGAAAATATTGTGATAGAAATGTTATGACTAGTTAAAGTGCAATTGAAGAGTATCAACCTAGGTCAGTGTACATGTTATAAGGTTCTTCTTTCACAATGAAATTAAGAACAGAACAGAACTCATTCTGAGATTGTAATTTGCACATACTGCAAAAATTGTTTAAGTTTAATTATTTATGGATTTTACAGCTACTGCAAAATTTCACGATTTTCATTGACATAAAACAACACGTCACAAACACATCCCCACTGAACAGGGTTTTAGCCAGCCACCAGTCCACCCACCAAACAGACTGGCAACTTTGTTTTTGGACTAGCAACTTTTTCCCATTTTTCTGTTTTTTCCTATTTGTTCTTTGATAATTTTACCAAAATATATTCAAAACCATCTACATGTACATTTTCATAAAGTTGAATTGTTTTGGAGTGGCAGTTGCAAATTCCTGGCTAACAACCTGCTACTGAAGGTAACAATTGTGAGAGGGTGCAACTTAAAATCTTCAAAGGACCTTACCAATCTTGGGGCCTACTGGATCAGAAAAGACGTGATAGGTTATACCATCAGGGATTTCTCTCTTGCTCAGTTTGTCATATATCTGTAGTTTATAAGCACTGGCTTGGGCTTCATCGGCTGCTGTGATCACGACCAAATCCCAGAATGGCAAATCACCAACTAGATTACCTAATAAATAATCAAATTCATATAACCATTTAGTATATGACTGCCATAATCCAGATCATCACATTAAAAAATAAGTCACTAGTAGATTTTTCTCTAGTAAGAATTCAACATTCATATCTATCACTAAGCAATGTACAGTATTATGGACAAAAAAAAAGAAAGTAAAAATATTCGGTAACCAAATTAATATCAGGAATATAATTAATTTTCAAATTGATTGAGTTTTGATTAAGAGTTTGTTCAAATGAAACAATACTACATGTACATTGGGCAAAATGATGTGACAAAAAGTCTTGTCAAGCAATAGTAAACAAAAGTCAGCCATTTTGAATCCAGCTTAAAAAACTAACATGCATGTAGGTAATGTTCAACTTGTGCACTAATTTCGAACAACATTTGTCTGTACATCCAGTTTCAGATCCAGTTTCAGAGTAAAATTTCGATTGATTATTAAGCTTTAAAACGGGTGCTATTTGGCCATCTTGAATTGGATAGTGAAAAAATGAATGAAGCATGTGTGAAGTTTGAACATGATTGGTCAGACATGACTCTGGAACAACATTTATTGACATGAAATGGCCACCAGTTAACTATTTCAAATCCAATCTGCAAAACACGACGATATCAGGGCTCATGTCCACAGACTACCAGTTTTTTGTCATGGGGTTATATTATTTGTTAGCTGAAGTAGAGTACTGACAAATCTTTACAATGTTGTTTTGATACATTACTATTATTGATGCATTCAATGTAACAGCTGTGACAGTGAATGTGATGTGTGCCATGAAAATAATGATAACAAACCATGCATGCTTGCATAGTTATCAAATTCAACATATATAGTTTTGTTTATAGTAATATAGTTCAAACATATTAATATGGATCCAGAAATTGATGCTTGACTATGATGATTTTTTCAACATTGATATATTTACATTCATTCATCTTATCTGAGTGTCAAATGAGTACTTGTTCATATGGAGAGATATGGCTCCGAAACAGCATTTATTCAAAAAAATGGCCACTGGTCAGCCATTTTGAATACATCTGTAAATCATGATATAGAATGAATATATAAAAATTGAACATAATCAGTCAAATCATGTCAGAGATACGGCTCTAGAACCGCATTCATAAAAAAAAAAATATCCACCAGTCAGACATTTTGAATCCAATTTGAGAAATAAAATTAGGCAGAGGGTTCTCCGAACCTGCCTATTCACATAGTTCATACCCACCATAGACTCCGGTCAGTCAAAATGACTATTTTGAACTGTAGGCATTAATCAGCAATTCTGCCAATGACTGAGAGATAGAATCCAGGTCAGGGGAAGCCCCATGACCCCAAAATTCTCTTTCCCTTACGTCACGAACCACGTGACCTACATGTAGGCCATATGGCAGCGCCATTAACAGCTGTACAATCACTCTGGTTCCTTTCTCTCCGCCTCAAGGACTTAGACCAACGCTACCGAAAGAGTGGGGTTGTTTGGGGGGGGGGGGGTCTATGGTGGGTATGAACTATGTGAATAGGCGGGTTCGGAGAACCCTCTGCCTAAATTCACTACGTTCAATTACCCACCATGGACTCCGGTCAATCAAAATGACTATTTTGAACTGTTTTCCGAGCAAACAGAAAATGATGAAAGTCTTTTCCCAGTCTGGGATGAAACAAACTACAATAAACTCAACACCTTAGTTAAGACCCAATAAAAGGTGGTGTCTGTGGTTGCCTGTGCTGTTCCCGGAGCAAAAAGCCAAAATGCTGCAACGATGACAGTGTTCGGTGTGCCCGAGAAAGCTAGACCCCAACCCAATTCTGGGGGTAGTAAGCTGTCGAAGTAAAGACCGAAACAGTTCTGCATGAGGGCATAGGCCGCAAAGCGGGCCCTGGGAACTTCCAGGGAGTGCTGATGGTAGAGAATCTGTCCGCATAAAATGCAGAGACTGACTTATTCCTATGCACAGGGACCCTTGTGGGCGTTCGGGCTGGGTCATCAAACCAAGACTGATCCGGCTAAAACGGGACCCAACCTAAAGAGACCTTCCTCAATGGATTTGGTGTCTGTTAGGTGCGTTCTCCAGAAGTCTGCCTTCCATGTATGCTCGAGGGGGGGGGCACCTGACGCTAGCACTAGTGAGTTGGCAATCGCACAGACCTCATGCGCTCGTACTTGGTGTCTCTGCAAGCTCTGTGTTGAGGAAGTTAAAGTATTATAAACCTCTAATACAATTGCAGTAAACCACCTGGTTATGGAAGTTGGGGAGGCCGGCCTATCCTGCCTGCCTGGGCCGTAACACAAAGACATGTGCCTGGCACCCAGTCCTGAATCCTTAGTACGGTTTGGTAGCAACTTCATGCTCAAACCAGGCAGAGAAGCAATTCCTTCTGACCCTCCGAGCAGACAAAATTTGACAGCAGGGGATGACGATCGAGTGAGGATTGTGTCCTGGGATTTGGTTCTAGGCGAGAAACCTGATTCATGTCTTTAGCACAACTTGATTGTCCCTAACGGTGGTACATCATCCGAGAAGGACAATGCCCCAGCTCTGGCCGACGCCTACCTGAGGACAAGGGCCAGTAGGAAGACTATTTTCCACAACAACAATTTGAGTGGTGCTGATCGAAGAGGCTCAAAGGGTGGTCTGCTTAGAGCGGACAACACAGCCAACAAGTCCCAGTTGGGTGGTTTCCTTGTATGGGTTCTCGGCGTCTGGAAAGCAGTAAATAGTCTCCTAATAATAGGACAATCGGCTAGTCTTGTTCCCGTACGTTCTCAATGGTGGGGGACAAGGCCGACCTGTAGCCAACAGTCGCTGCGTAGGACAAACCCACTTCGTCAAACAGGTGGACGAAGGAGCCTGCTACCTGGCCAATAGAGGGATGGTATGAATCAATCTCCCTTCCTCTACACCAATCAGTGTATGCTTGCAGCCTAGAAATGTAGGCTGCATTGGTGTAATCCCATTTGGCCCTGTCCAGGATGTTGGCAGCCCGCTCAGATAAAGCTTTCGTATGTGCCGGTCTACTGAGAGCCTCTATGCGTGTAAGTGATACCTGCTGGGCTCGTTGGTAGTGCGCCGTCTGGTTGGTCCGGAAGCACTACTGGTGTTTCGACTAGCATTCCCGACAGAAGTGGAAACTAGGCCTTGCTTGGCCAATTGGGTGCGACCAATGATAATATGCAGGTGTGCACATGTCAAAGTTTTCTCCGGTGCCCGGTGAACTAGCAGGAAGGAAGGAAAGGCGTACACAACTAAGTGGGTCCACAGGGTTAGCAAAGGAACCCTGGCCCAGGCTCCTGGAGACGGCAGGAGTGTTACGTAAGTCGAGAGCTGAGCGTTCTAGGGTGAGGTAAATCGGTCTAACCTTGGACCGTCCCATAGCCGAAACAGCCTGGAGGCTACCCACTGGGTATATACTGTAGAATACTTTATTTTCGCTTGGAATTTATTTTTGCCATTTTCGCTGAAGGGATGATTTCGTGAAAATAAAATCCAGCGAATATACTTTTTTCCCTATATTTCACATTAAACTCATGAAAAATCAGTGAAAATAAATTCCAAGCAAAACACCCAAAAAGCCTTTTCAGCGAAAATTAATTCGAGCGAAAATAAAGTATTCCACAGTATATATACTGCATTCAGTTTGAGTCTGTTGATACGGTAGTCTCGAAACTAATGCGGGGGCCATATCCTTGGGCTTATTTGTCCAATAGATGCGCCCCCCCAACCTTGGGAGGAGGCATCTGTTACCAGAGTCATATCTGGGGCGAGTGGGTCCAAGGGGAGCCCCCTGTCCGAGGTTGGCCAGTGACGACCACAAGGGCAGGGCATATTTCACTTGGTCCGAGAAATTCGAATACTTGGCCCAGCTGGGCGATTCGAAGGAGATGCAACTCGCTGGGTGCATCAGTATGTGCAGGTAGGCCCCCGCTTAAGTCTAGTGGGGCTAGCCAGTCGAAACAGTGGATGGAGAGAAGAACCAAAGAACCCTGAATGGCGTCTCCATGTGGAATCGATCGAGGAGCACGTACTGATTCAGTCTCCCTAGGTCCAAAACTGGACGCCCGCCACTTGTAGATTTGGTACTACGAACACATTTGGGTAGAAGCCTGGACTTAGCTCCAGCTGATCTATCCTGTGTATGGCGCCTTTTCCCAGTGCCCAATAGGGGAGACACTGACGGGGGAGATGGAGATTTCAGCGGTATCCTTAACAGGATGTCACCACCTGGAAAGGTCCAGGGATCGGTCACCTGATGTCTCCAAACCAGACTACACCGGCGCAATCTGTGTACAACAAGGATATGAGGCCATGGGTTCGGCAGTTGCGAGGGGTGTGCTTTCTTCTTCCATGAGGTAAGTTCCCCAAAGCCGGAAGTCGTCACTAAGTTATGACCTGGCCACTCGCCGAACACATGCCCCCCCCCCCCCAATATATGTGTCGCCTGGTCTAGGAGGCTGGTGCGTTCTGCCTCCGAGGTCTCAGAGTTCTGTGCGCGCACAATGTGCTCAAGCAACTCCGGGTGTGATGGATAGTCTCAGATTGAGGTGGCGAGAATGCCCATGGAACGCGGCTGTCCCCCTTTACCCAGTCTGCCCAACGGAAATTCATGGTACCGGGGTCTGGGGGAAGGAGCTTTGGGATCCGGTTGGGGGTATTTTGGTCTCATCCCACACTTTGGGGACTGATCCAGAAACCACACCGACCGGGTAGCGATTGGTCCATCAGAAAGTGTTGCATAAGATTTTACCACACCGGGGGGCCTTAAGCGTCACCTCCTCCGCGGCTGTCCAACATCCGCCCATCAACACTGTTTGCGCGTCCCGTGTCCCACTCCGCACTCGGACGGACAGGGAGAGACGTGCCGACGGGGTTGCTTTGGATCCAGACGCCCGTGATCCCATAAGCGTTGAAGCATCTGAAAGTGGTCGCCTTAGGATCAGGGGGATGGTAGTCTTTACATCGTATCACTAAGGTTGATTGAACTCCATATC